TAAATCAAAATTTAGGTCGCATCAGAGAAATGGTGAAAAGTACTCGCATATTAACATTTGCCGCGGCACCAAAAAAAAACCTAATTTTTATTAATAAAAATCGCAAATGTGTTATCGACTTGACGTTATTTAAAGCTTTCGTGAGCTATCTTCACATACGCTAAACAAAAAGTCGATTATCTTGTAGATATGATAAGATCGAATTAAGACAAAAATATACAATGTATTCAAAGAACGTTGCAAATATAAATTATTTAAATAATTTTCTTGTCAAACAAAATTACTTGAAATGAAACATTTATTCTTAATCATCTGAACTAAAAATGAATGAAATGTTCGAATATTTATTTTTGCAATACTCCTCGAGGACTTGTTTAACAGGGATGTCGGATGTCGAAATGTCAAAATGTCGAGATGTCGAGAATAAATAGATTTACTTTACAGAGTGAATAATTTCGTAACAAAAATGACACATTTTGCTTTTGTACCAATTAAATCTCTCAAATTTGTCACCTTGTAATTTTCTCGCGAACAACATAGTTCCACAAGTTGCAGTTCTACACAAACGGCAAACGGAAATTCTCTCGTTCGCGAAAAACCGTAATAGTGCGGGCAGGTGTCACGTTTTGCGTGTGACTCGCAATTCGAATTGCTGTAGGGCGACAGCAAAAATTTCCTCGTTTGCTGGTGTGTTTGTTCGCTCGCTCGTGAAGCGAGCAGGTGTCGTATTATACGCCCCTGTGTCTATCGCCCACCCCTAAAGCATCGTGACTTCGCTCAGTAAGGGCGAGACTATTACTACGCAGGGCTGAATTGGATAGGACAAAAAAAAGCCCCGGCTTCCAGGACATTAGATGATCGAGCTCGTTATTTTTTTTCCGGTCGGAGTTTCTCCTCTCCACTGTATTATCTTGGCCCACCGCTGACTCTTCGTTCCCCGCGGATACCACATAAGACAGATGGTCTGGTCATTTTACGTGAACCACTAAATACAGGGTGTGTCCTATCGATAACGGAGAACGTAAATACGGGAACGCGCGATAACCATTCATTTTCCTCGACTCTCGACTCTTGAAACTGTCTATTTGAAGAAGAATTCGATTTTCGAGTTTGCCAAAGTTAACGGGCCACAACGTTTTACGCATCTCTTGCGGTAGATCTTGCACGTGGAGCTCGCCAACTTTCGCATTGAACTTTAGAAAGTCATTTAATAATTAATTTCTAATTAATTTTGAAACATTTGCTAATTGACTTCTTACTTCAGCCAAAACCTTCTTCAGAGGACGACTGACCTCAGAACTTTCGACATTGAACACTCTTGTAATTGAAACTGCCTTAAAATTATTTTAAATCGACACCTCGATGGTATTACCATTATTATACATTAGTTTATGCAATTTAGATTTGAATTCTCAAGACCGAATCGTAACTTTGCTCTCGCTCAACTTTCCGCGAAAGAAAAATTGATCTCAAATTTGCCAAGAGCACGCCCTTCAAGTTTGATGTAAACTTTATGAAACACCCCGTATACCATCTAGATCCCGGTGCCTCCAATTTGTTTTCTCATGAATACTTTCCTCCGATCCTGGCGACGGCGTGAATGCACCGCTTGCGCAGTCGCAATAAATACAGACAGTCGTCAGGAAAGTGTCTGCAGATGAAAGCTTTAGGGTAGACTTTCATCACTACTATGTTGTTTAATTTCCATTAATTTTCATGTGTATTCATATGACGAAACAAGGCCAAGAATCATAAAAAGGAGCGATGTGAATTAAAATATAGCCCTTAATAAAATTCATAAATCCCACACAGCATGAAATATTTATATAAATCATTTTCCAATAAAATATTTTAGAAGTATTTTGTAAACATTTGTAAAACGTTTTAAAATATTGCATTAAAATATTTCATAAAAATATTTTAGAAATGTTGTACAAATATATTGTAAGAAAAAGAATATTTCAAAAACTCTTTCCTGGATATATTTACATTTTAGAAATATTTCAAACCTTGCAATAAAACATTTTGCAAATATTTCTGAAATATTTTGTGCTGCGTGGGATATCACATTTTCTCATAATTTATTGAAGTAATACATTATTATATTAATTACATATTACATAGTGAAGCAATATCATAAAACCCACATTCGAAGAAAAGTTTCTAGATTCCTTTCAACGTAGAAAGTTCTAAGAATTCAGAGAGAAAAGTTCTTAAGCCGGTCAGGCGACTAATTGCTATCACAAATCAGAACATAAGATCGCATCGCGTTTCCAAATTCTGCACGGCATGCATCCAATGTGTTCTTAATTGTGTCACATTTCTTTTTAATACGATTAGATTACGGCTACAACCGCTTCGCAAGCTGTCGCTCAAAGTAGAAAAACAGTCATCAATTTTAACGTTTAAACGATCATCATATTTTTAGCTTAATATTTTTTCGACGTCGTAACTAATCGGACATTGAATAATAAAATGAGGAGGACCTATAATGATTCCCCTCGATTTATGTCAAAAAATCTCGTATTGAATCTTATAAGTGTAATATACTGGCATTTATACCAAGGTTGTCACAAACTAGAAATCAGAGATGTCAGAGAGATGTTAGAAAAATTGAAAATAATCAGGGAAATCAGAGAAAAGTCGTGGAATTTTGCAAAATTCTCTAACAAATCACAATTATTTGCTTTAAAGAAGTTTCATATTCGTACATCACACCTACGCAGTTTTGGAATACTACCAACTTAACAAATAAATGCAAGCAGTATCAACGAAATTAACAGTAACTATGTTAAACGTTGCTATGTTAAATTTCTTTCTCAACAAAATGTTTACCGGTTTCCAAATCAAGAGGTAAATAATGTAACTTTTTTCCTTAGGGCGGAAACATGAAAAACGAAAACTTTGTAAAACGTACATACATACATACATACTACATATATCAAAATGATCACTTTTCACGTTTCCATTCTAGAAAAGAGTTACACGATTGATACTCAGAACAAAAATATAAAAAATTTCAAAATGTTGTTGAAAGTCAGAGAAAATCATGAAACTTTGGCTGGAAATCAAGGAAAAGTTATGGAATTTAAAAATGAGAAATTCGTGGCAACTCTGTATACGTCGTCGATGAATTCCAGGACACCCCATGGCGCGCCCCACGCGCGGACAGCCCTGCGCGGCAGCGCGCTCGGCACGTTCTCTACCACCGCCTCCACCACCGCCTCCACCGCCACCGTCGGCGTAGGGGGTTGTACATCGCGCGGGCATCGAAACGCGTCGAAACGCGAGGCGGCCGGATCGGACTGACTCCCGAAAAACGATCGGCGCCCCGTCTCGCGCGCGTCGTCCTCTCTCGCGGCGGTTATAGCGGCGTGCCCGCGCGACGAGGAAGCGTGCAGCGCGTCGCACGCGACAGCACGCGTCGCGGAAGAGACGAGTTCGGTCGTCGGGAACGAGGGTGCGAAGGAGATCGTGGGAGCGAGAAACACGGTTCTTTCTTGCAACACCGGCTGGAAGCCGCCGCGCCTCGCGCTCAAGGCGAGAAATTTCGTGGGAAATTTAGCCGGTGTCGTCGACCCGCTTCTCTCTGCTCCCGTTACCGCCGCCACCGCCGTCATCACCACCGGTCCGCGATCGGACCGCGATCGTTATCGAGATCGGATGAGCGAGATTTTCCCGTCGCTGCGAATGAGTGCGAGATCTCCTCGAGAAGAGCGTGAGAAACTACAACTGCCGATGTCGAGATTCAACGTCATGCCGTCGGTAGCCGGCTGGTAAAGAGAGATGAACGGTTCGTCCAAGGTGCTCGTGTGATCGGTATTTCCATTGATTAATTTAAAAAATAAGGGTAATCTCCCCCAGGAGCACGAAAATTCGAACTGGAATTTTTTTGGGGAACCTTACAAATGATCGGTTGTGCGTGACTCTTCATATCTACTTAGAAAAAAAATTGTTGCTATCAATTGCGGCTGTTAAAAAGCAAAAAACAGAAAAAAGCTGAAAAGGTGAATTAAATTGATCCTAAATTATTCTTTAAATCTTTAAGAGAAGGTCAGCGAGAGAAAGAATATAGAAACGAGAACGATCATGTATAACGGCTGTGTATGACTATCCGTAACTACTGCGGGGAAATTTTTCCGCTGTCAAGAAGTAGAACAATTCGCGTCAATGAAAAACGGAACGTTCGCCGCTGTTGAAAAATAAAGTTGATTAATTCGAGAGCGAATTTCACGAACTCGTCGGTCGGTTTCGTGTATTTTGCCGTTTTTTACATGTGTTTTATATCGCCGTTTTTTCACGGGACGTAGCACCGTATACTTCTTATATTTTTGACGGTCTTTTTCTTCGCGGAAAAAAGAAACCCGCAAAATAATACGGGAGATGATCGATCACGGCGGAAATTGAGGACCAGTAGAATAACAACGGAAGTATCGTTCGTGTGTCGAAGTGCACGCCTCGTGCAGCGGGTCAACCGATCTGTTATCGCCATTGTCGAATCGCCTAACAGCGGCCCTAAACCCCGGAGGAAGATAGCTCCAGGAGAACGATATTCTCCGCGGAGAAAGGCGGTGCTTCGTCAGAACGCGTTGCGCCATTTCAGGTGCGAGTCTCGAGCCTTCCGCTCGAGTGCTTTAACGTGTCTCTGGGTGCTTTAGGTGAGCTTGGCTCTCGCGAATCACGTTGCGAAAGAAAGCATTCAACAGACATCAAAAGACCCGGTGATTAATGAACGCGGGTAATTAAGAAACATTAAGGAAAGCTGCCGAAGGAGTCCTCGAGATCCTCCAACTATTCGGAGAGAGCGTGTCATCCTCCCTCCGCTGCGCCCTCTCCCCTTCTCGAGAGGATCCTCGCCGGAGGACATCGCCGCGGGGTTAGCGGTGGGAGAAGACCGTCTACCTTCGAGGTAAGAGAGAGAGAGAGAGCTAGAGAGAGAGAAGGGGGAGGGAGAGAGGGAAGGATAAAGAGAAAGAGAAGGGGTGGGAGGCCTTTAGGGGTGGAAAATCGTTGGAGAATACCGTCGCGGTGAAATCACTCCTCTCGAACGCTCGCGAGACGATCAGACCGCGAAGCATCCCCCGCCGAGCTCATCCTGCTCCCTTGCCTGCCTTTCGCCCCTTCGTTTCTCTCGAGCCGGTGGGGTGGAAGTGGAGGAAGTGGCTGTCTGATCTCGGACGGAATGACAATAAGACTCCCCTTTGATTAATCGACGGAACAGAGAGAAGAAAGAGAGAGGATGAGTAAGTGAGAGAAAGAGGGAATTAGTCCTCTCGAGACGGCGGATTGTTTTGCAAGTGCTAAGAAGTTCCGACTGTTAATAGAACTGACTAAATATAACTCTAACCGAGTAACTTAGACATAAATCTACCGACTCGAACTTAAGCGATGCCTCGAATAGCGCATTCAGATGTCACGCCTCTTCATTAAAGTCGACAAGATTGTTCAAACGAATTAATACGTAATGCTTTCTTGTTAAAATGTATTAATACGAAATATCTCCCTGATAATAAGAAAATATATCCGGTGTCGACCTGTGGCTCGTCTGGAACGTTTCAACGCTATAAGAACGTATCGAAGTGTAACGAGTGCAACGATTAATCAAGTGATTAACGATTGTCCCCCAACTGAAAGTTGCTCGACTAATCCTTTTCGTTGCATCCGATCGTCGAAGAACTTTGCAGACACAGGGTTGTGCGGGGGGCAAGGTGCGCGACAATAACGCGAATGAATTCGGGAGGAGACGGGATAAGTAGAGTGGATCGAAATTAGAATCGTGTGCAGCCAGTGGAAGAGGGTTGGCGCTTGATCAGGCGAACCGGCCAACTTGAGCTCAAACTGCACTACTGAAAAGAACTCTCATTTGTTTAAAGAGATCTTTCGCATTGCAGCGCATCTCTGTAAAATTGTGTGTTACACGATTGGAAAATATTCGACGAAGTGCGAAACTCTCTACTTCTGAAACGACAATAATAAAACGCGCGCGATGCATTAACAGTATCGAAAATAATTCATAATAATCGATCATAAAACGTCGACGAGAAATATCGACGGGAATTCCGATGCCAGCCGGATGTTTTCGAATGTCCATCTTTATTTGAGCCAGCGACAGGCGTCAATTTGAACGGTGAGTAATCTGGACCTCCATGCATCTTCCTGGACGAGTGACGAATGCCGGGATGTAATCGACAACGATAACCGAACGTTAACAAATCACAGTGACGACAACGGGAAAATTTGTGCGGCCAGGAAAAGGCGATAAAGTAAGAAGGACTGAGTGACAAAACTGCTACCATTGAGAACTTGGAGTTTAACAAGAGTTTGATGGGCACATGAGAAAAATAATGGTAATGTAGCAGCTACAATGAGAACAATTGAACACCTTTAGGTCCGAGGACAATAAAGTTAAACGAGGGTAATCGAAAGCAACCACGTGAAACAACCGAGTAGTCACTGTTGAACTCGATATCGCAGAGTAATAAAAAAATCGACGATATATTTTAGCAATCGGATCGATCAGGAAATAAAAATAGTGACAGTAATAGGTGCGAGAACGTTTTGCTGAAACATTAAGTTGATACAAAAGGTTTGTCCGTACGACTTTTTATCTATCTTTCTAGACATTATTTCTGATATTCTTTATCATTAATTTTATCAATCCTAACAACTGTGCACGTAAATTTTTAAAAATTTCAAGTTTAAATATTATTCATTGATAAAAATTTAACAAAGAATCTTACTAATCAAAGAAATTTTATTGTTTAAAAATATTTCTTTTTTATTTATTATATTATTGCACAAAATTTGATATAAATTAATATAACAATTTAAAGATTAGCTTATTAATATAACAATAGAAAGCAAAATATATTTTAACATTTTAAAATAACAGAAAAAAAGAGAGACACGAAAGGCAATCCTTTTGCACTGATTCTTAGCAGTGACACGAGTGCAACGAGACGCGGAGTAAAAGACGCAGTGAAGAAAGCGCAGTTTTGTCATCCAGGCACTTCGATGCGCCTCGACGGTAGGCGTTCGGGCTTGAAGGATCCACGCTCGAGTCGGTGAGTGTCTGCGTGTTCGTCGTCCTGCACACGCGGCCGGGACAAGGAGCCGGAGCAAGGATAGGTCCTTCCCGGTGTGGAATGACAATAAGGCGCCGCCGTACCCGCGGGGTGGTATTATGCTGGAGACGACGGATTTGAGCTTGCGGCCCAAGTGCCCGGCGAAGGTGTCGCAGCCCCTTCGTGGGATGGCACTCGGGACGTTGGCCGAGATAGCGGTGCGACTCGTGATTAGCGGCTACATATTCGCCGTGGTCGTCTACGTGAACGCCAGCGGCAACTGGGATAAGGACGATGACCTAGGTACGCGCCGCACGAGCACGAAACGGTCGCACGAACAGCCGAGATTAACCACTTCCCTGACCCGCGCGAGCGATACTCGCTTTTCGAGCGTGTCCCAAAATTGCCGGTTATCCTGACTTAGAGACCAATTTTCTCAATTTTTTTCCTTAATAAAGATACAAGAGGGCTTGCAATTTGCACAGTTTAAGTATTATTTATTGGTAAAAATAAATTTGACACTATATTTTCCATAAGTAATTTTTTAATTTTCAGCCTTACGTTTTTCTTGCATTCGAACTTCAAAAACTCATCAAAGTAATTACTTCTTAAAATTATAACTAATAAATATACTCGTTTACTTAATATATAATTAAATAAAATTTATCAATTACTTGAGCGGGCTTAATTTAATAAAATTTCATTTTTGAAAGTGGAAATAGATGTTTAATTTAGTTTAAAACGAAAGGAGAGTTCTTCAACCACTAATTACTCGAAAACTATCGGTACTTCAATATTCTCTCATTGAGAAAAATATCGATATTCAAGTTAACGGAGCAATATATGGTCAAAAATTTATCTCGCGATTTTGGGGCATAAAACGATCGTTTGTTATTTTTTTCTCTTTTTATAATGGAATGTGAAAATGTGATTTAAAAAAGAGTAGTTTACAAAAAGAATGTATATGAGTGCGTAGATATACGTGTTTTCATTAAAAAAAATGTATTTTATTTTAACGGTTATTAAAAAAAAGCAGGAAGAGGAGAAAATTGAATAATAAAAACCAGAAAGGATGTTGCGGTCGGTTTTCTGTGAAAATACTGGGGAAGGAAATAGTTAAGTGAAGCCATGCTTAGCGATTCGTTGCTTTTCTGTAGATTATATTATTTCGTTGTGCAATATATTGTTGAAGATTAACAAAGAAGGAAAAATTTTCCTTGATCAGAGCCACAATGGGTCCCTTAATTCTGCTGGTAGCTTCGTTTGCCGTGCACACTCAGCATGTCCGGCGCAGAATGGAACTCTATATGGCTTTTGTGCGCAAAATGGAACCCAATACGTATTTCATAAATGCATATTGAAAAGTGGAAAACTGACAAAGTCATGAAATTGAAAACTGTTAGAATCGATATTTACAAAGTTATGGCATTTTTTAAAATAAAACTAGGTCGAAACGCAAAAGCAAGGCTGAATATAGTCCCTTAAAACGTGATGAAATAATAAATAAGTTCCCGTTAATGCATAACGGTTAATGCCTTGATCAAAAGTGCGGAGCTTTTACAAGTTTTGAATTTGTAATCCGTCCTGCTTACAGCTGTTTGAAAATTTGCCAGTGGATATTTCTAATTTTTCCTTCCTCTCGTAAATACGCGAACGGTTATTTTATCTTAAACCTTCATTCACACAGCCATTTTCCAATTACATTTGTACCTTGATGTCAGTTTTTATTTATATCTTTGAAATGCCTTCAGCATAGAAAATGGCATGCGTTTAAATAGATGGAACAGATAATAATCGCGCTGATACGATGCTAAAAAAGATAAATGGCTCGTGGCATGTACATTTTTCATCGGAGCGTCACAAACAAACGTAAAAGCGATATCCTGCCGGAAGAGTTCGTATTCGTGTTACAGACGTCGTTCGATTGATGAAAATTGCGGCGTATCGGAAAACGGGGGAATCAGACGCAAGCTTGTTGCGATACCGGAAATCACTCAGAGCGTGAAACTTGCTCAAAGAAATGTTACGCGGCGTAATTATATTTCGCGCTACCGGGGTGGAAACTCTCCATTATGCGCGAAAACGAACTTCATTAGTGATATTTTTCAAGCTGCTTTCTCGTCTCTTTATTCGTAAGAAGCAAAGCAGCTTCCTTTTTATAGTATATGTTGCGAGGCAGGACTCTTTCTCGCGTCAGAATGGAATGTTAAATTGGAGGGAAATGTCTCTTAAGATATCTACACATTCTTGATGCGACTTTATTTCGTGAAACGTAACGAAATTACTCGCTTAGAGTTCAGAGATCTTCACAGCTGCGTTACTTCAAGGTAATTTAAAATCACGCTAAACAATAAGAGGAAAAAATTTAATCTCAAGTTTTTCGCTGCTAAATCTCGTTTACCTGAATGGCTTGTAAGTTTACTTATAATACTTCCTACTAACTTAATAACTTTCCACGTTCTTTCGTGACATAAAAGCTGGCGTTACAGCTCATTTAACTTATTAACCATATAATTAGCAATTTGTAAAACGTCATGAATTGTTAAACATAATGCCTTCGAATATACATTAAGATTCAAAATTACATAATATTATATTACAGTTCCGTGTGCATTCGTCAGAATTATTAACTCAATTATTAAGCGACCCGTAATGTTTGCTTCTAAGAAAACAGAAACAGTATTGTAAGTAAAATTATTCAAAGCGTTAAAGTTAATCAGATTTAACTAGGAAAGAAAAGTCGCATTGTTTACAGTAAAGTTCCAAAGGAATCATTTAAAAAGACGTTGAAAAGATTTCATAATTCGTTGAACCTTCATCTCAAACATTTAAAGCGATTATAGATTAAAAAAAAATATTTACAACATATAGAGAAAAGTTATTTATTCAATAATTACTAAACAATATCTTTTCGTAAATGATATGGCTATGTTTACCAAACATTATCAAATTTTTATCAACCATTAAATATGCTACGCTGTTGGCATTTAGTTTTGATAAAAAGAAATAATCTCTGAACGTTACATGTTCAATATGTCCGAATCGTCAAATAAATAAATCCGGTAATAAGCATGCGTGGTCAAATAAACGTTGCGTTTGATGGACAGCTCGCGGCTTCATTTAGTTAAATTTCAATTAGTCGAATTATGCATAAACTAAACACGCTATGTATCGCTATGTACCGGATTCCGATACCCAACGCGTTAATCACCTTTCTTCAACCTCTCCAGTGTCCACATCTAAGGTCAGCGCCGTACTTGGGCGTACCGCCACTTTGCCTTGCGACATTGAGCCGTCCACGCGAGAGGATCGCGTCTACATGGTCCTTTGGTTCCGCGATTATGCGGTGAAACCCATTTACAGGTAAGCAAGCCTTGTCACCGAGAAAAAAAAGATCTAAGAAAGTCGGAAAACGTATTAAGGAGGTATGATACCCTAATGGAAATTTTCTCATGATGAGAAGATTTGAAACGGGTATATATCCATTTTAGATGGGTATATACCCTTCTAAAATGGGCATATACCCATGGGTCATGGGCATTTTTAGAACTACCTATGAGATTTCTATTAGGGTAGATATTTCAAAATAATAAAAAATTTCTGAAGAAATTACAAATAATTTTAGATCTCACATTTAAAAGTAATACAACACATTTTTTTTAGTAACGATTTACCATTTGGATCAAAAGTTATTTGAATAAGAAGTAGTACTTTTTTTAAGACTGTGCTCTAATAAAAATGTATGGAAATGTATTAGGTAAAACAAAATCTTAATTTTTTTATGTAAGTACTTTATATTCAAAATGATTATGTAAAGTTACATTGCGATGCAGAAATTAATTGCCCAGTAAATAAACAAAATATTTATTTGTTCTAAATCTCTGTAACTAATCAGAAAATCACAATGAAATTTTTGCATAAGTCATTTTAAATATTTTAAGTATAAAAATATTTAGATTTAGATTTTTGTTTTTATTTTTAAAATTTTAGTTTATAATAATAAAAATAACAATAAATAAAGTAAATACACTACAAATAAAAAAATATACTATTTAATAAAGATAGAATGTTATAAATACAATTTTCATATATATATATATATATTGTATATATATATATCTACAGTTTGTTTAAAGTATAAATATTAATATATGCTATGTTCGATCGAATCTCCTTAAAAAGAAGAATAGGATCCAGTGTTACTCGCAAATTATTTACAAATGAAATATGTACGTAGTTTCGATGTGCGAGGACGGGCTTTTAACAAGGCCCTGAACTGGTCGGACAGCACCGCCGTAGGGCCCAGGGCCTACTTCATCACCGTGACGAAGCCGGCCGCGCTCTCCTTAGAGGCGGTCCAGCTGGATGACGAGGGGATCTATAGATGCCGGGTAGACTTCAAGAACTCGCCGACCAAGAACTTCCAAGTGAATCTCACAGTGATCGGTGAGGAAACTCATTACCGTAACGACCGCGTAACACTGCTCCGGTATGATTAACTGCGTCTCGGTATAACGCGTAAAACAAAGATCGTGCCGAGGGAAGGGTGCTAACAGAAGAAGAAGGAGAGCGAGAATTAGCTGCAGTTAACGTCGACCGATATGCAAGATCTTTTTTCATCTCGACGTGAAGTTAAACTTGCCGGAACAATCTCCGTCTCGCGCGGTTTCGCTAATTGAGGGGCCCGCGTTGCGGCGGTCTAACCCACTTTTCTTCGAACTTCGGGGGGACAAGGAAGGGAGACGAATTAATCGAAATTTCATTTTTGCAAGTTTAAAATTAACTTTCGCGAGCTCTCTTTAAAAAGTCGGAATAGACCGTCCGAGCCATTATCCGTCAATTATGGAAAGCGAACCACTCGGTTCGTGAAAATTGTTCGCAGTGCCACCTCACCAGCTACTCATTTACGACAGCTCCGGGGTGCAGGTGGAGAACGTCGCCGGACCGTTTCAGGTTGGCGTGGAGTTCGGTCTGTCCTGCGAAGTGAGAGGAGGTGAGCACATCGTATTCCGATTCATCTCTTTGTGATTCGTCCTTAGGTAAATTCACGTGCAAACACAAGAGTCAGCGATTCTATCTGTGTCTTGAACTTCCGCTCGCGGTTATTTACATTACGTTCTCGGTTTCCATTCATGCATATTTGACATTCTGCTATGAAAACCGTAAATCAACGGGTTATCGTGCATTTAATTATAATTTGGGGCACGCAGTCCGCATGCATTGAAATTTCTTTATAATCTCTCCTCACACAATTAACATAATTAAATGACAGAGATGGGAGATATGAAATACGGTAGTTCGAGGTAAAGCAAATTTCTCGTCGCATAGTTTAAAAGCTGCGATGAATTTACCATTATGCATGTGTGTGTATACGTATAATTACGCGTTCTCGAGTTTGTAAAATTTTATCCGTTAATTCCTCCCTGAGAGAAATCAGGTTTCTCATTAATATGTTTAGTCGAGATACGAATCTCGGCGAGAGAGCGACAAATTACCCAACCGACCCCCCTTGCTTTAAGCGCGTATAAATCCCGACGTGACCCCCCCTCTCTCTCTCTCTCTCTCTCTCAAGATCGCGTGAATAAATAAAAAGAGAGGAGATACTACCGCGGGTTAGCGTTAGCAATTAAATACGAGCTCGGCCTCTAAGTGGCCGGGTATTACGCGGGCGCGCCCGATCGGAGACACCCGGTATTAAGGGTAATTATGGCCCCGGTGATTTGTCTGCTGTCACGCGAGACTGA